CCCGTGGTGGCCGTGGACGCCTCCAGACCGCAGCCTTTCGTGGGGCCCCCGGCCACCGTGGCTGGGGAGGGCGTGCAGAGCGCCGTGCCCGCCTTGTACAGGAACCAGAGCTACAGCAAGCCGCAGCACGTCCAGACGCATGGCTACACCAAGCACCTCGGCCAGCCGCCGGCTACCGCTGCTGGTCGGCTCCAGCTGGTGTCAGCGGTCAACCTGTCCACGGCCAAAGACTCCAGGGCGGTGGTGACCTGCGTCGTCATCGTGCTTTCCGTCTTGGTTTGCTGTCTGCCCCTCGGCATCTCTTTGGTGCAGGACGTGCTGTCCAGCAGTGGTGGCTTTGTTCTCTACCAGTTCGAGCTGTGTGGGTTTACCCTCATTTTCTTCAAATCTGGATTAAATCCTTTTATATATTCCCGCAACAGTGCTGGACTTCGGAGACGAGTCCTCTGGTGCCTGCAGTACGTAGCCCTTGTCTTTTTCTGCTGCAAGCAGAAGACAAGGCTTCGGGCCATGGGCAAAGGCAGCCTGGAAGTCAACAGGAACAAGTCATCCCACCACGAGACCAATTCAGCATACATGTTGTCTCCAAAACCTCAGAAAAAGTTTGTGGACCAAGCCTGTGGCCCCAGTCACTCCAAGGAAAGCGTGCTGAGTCCCAAGGCTTCTGTCGGGCATCAGCACTACGCACAGAGCAGCTCGACCCCCGTGAACACCCGAATCGAGCCCTATTACAGTATCTATAACAGCAGCCCTTCCCAGGAAGTGAGCACCCCCAATAGCTTACAGCCGGTAAACTCAACTTTCGGGTTTGCCAAATCCTACATTGCCATGTATTATCACACCACCAACGACTTGGTGCGAGACTATGACAGTGCTTCGACTAAGCAGATACCAGTGCCCTCAGTGTAACCTTAGGAAAGGGTGTGGATCTAGCTGATCCAGCGGGTCCCCTTCTTTGCCTTTGTTAATGATTATTCTGAACTCAATGATACAGTACCGCTGCCGATTAAGAAAAACGCCGCTAATGTTAATATCCGGCTATTTGCCTTGAATTGAACACTGGGATATTACTTCCATGACACTTTCTTGAATTTCTGCGGCAAGTCAAAAAGGGCAGTATTTTAGATTTGTGTTTGGAATTGTTACATGGGGGTGGTTTTGTTACTAAATTTTACTGCTGGACAAGTAAAAAAAAAAAAAAAACCACTATAAGTATGTGATTCATTACGTCATGAGGCAGAATATCTCCGAGAACAATCTGAGGCTGCACCAGAAGTATTACCTCTTAAATTGCATACTTGCCGTATTTTCAAGAAGGAAGAATTGGGAGGATGCTTGGTATTACGATACTTAAATTTAAAATTTTCCCACTGCAGAAGGTTGAAAGAACCGGTGGTATTTTGTTGTAGCAAGTGTCAGTAATAACAAAAGTCCTTTCTATTTGCAGGGTGAAATCCTGGTTCCGTTGAGGTAAATGGCAAAATTTCCATGAACTTCAACTGAAGTTTAGGATTTCAGTCTCGGCTTCCTAAAGCAGGACAAGGCATTTTACAAACAGAGTTATATTGCCACCGGGGAAGGACTTTTGAGAAGTGTTGTAGCACTGTAATAAACCTCTGAAGTGTATATGTATATATTAATTTCCTCTGTACATTTACTTTAAGGATCGGTGGTGGCATTATGTATCCCAAAATAATATATTTGCAGAAGTATTTTACATCTGATAGAAATAACCGTGCAATACCTAATTATAGGTTTTACTTGAGGATGAAGATGAATATTGCAATATTATAGTGCTGATACACTATTAGTAATGCAGTCACCTCTGGAATTTTCTAATTCGTAAACTGTTACGCAAGGAGTAGTGTTGCTGGTTGCTTTTTTGTCTATGACTTTGTATAAAAGCGGGAATTGGGGGGGATTCGGCTGTGACATTCCTGACAGGTAGAACTGACAGCTATTAGCTTTTTTAAAAACAGAATGACCGCGTAACAAGAGGACTACAAGTTTCTGAGGTTTTCTTAAGAAGTCAAACATCAGTTTGATTTAAAGATTAATAAACTGTCTACTTATAAACTTTATCTGTTGGTCTACACAGTGAGCAAATAACAGAAGTTAAATATTTTTTTATAAATCCGACCATTTGTGTTGTGTCACGTGTTGTGGGAATTCCTTACGAAACGGAATGATTTGGAGACATTTAAATTCCTGACAATTACCGCTTTAAGAGGCCAGATCTTTTCAAAACAAGCAATCACCTTTCAACTTCTGTGGACTTCAGCAGAGCCTTCATATCTCCAAAATAATCGTGCCACAGACTTTTGGTGCCTCATTATAGGAAAATGCCACATCTTCAGCAAAATTACAGTGATGGAAAGGTGATTTGTTATTTTAGAAACAAAAAACATTCACGTGATTGCTGTGTGTGAGTTGTTGTTGGTTTAGGCTATTTAACTAAACTATTTTCAAGGTTTTCCTGGAAGACTATTACATTATGAACACTGTTCTTTGTTTAACACTCTGAATTTTAATTAATTTTGAATAATTCAAGACAGCTTTCTTGCAATAAAATGGATGTGAACAACTTTCTAATACAATGTAAAATTGAAATTATTTCCATAAGTCTTTTCTCCCTGCCCAGATTTTTCTCTATAAATGAATAACATGGTTCTTTCTAAAGTAATTATAAAAGATAACTGAAAGATCCGTCTTGTTTGGTTTTTCTGTCTTTGCATTTCGCTTTAGAACAAAGCGTACTAATTTGGAGGGGAAAAATACGTGGGATCCTGTTGTTTTGTCTCAAACTATACGTTCTTGGCAGCAATCACAGTTTCAGATCGTAAGGAGTACCGGGCAGGACCCCCGAAGTGGTTGCAAGATGGGGTCCTGTATGTACTTCAAGGGAGTTGAAGGTGGGCGTTAGGACTGGTTTTAACACTAAGCAGTTCTGGGGTTTGCTGCACGTATGTACGACTCCTATGGTGCGTTTGGTTTGGATCACGTGAACTTCATCACACGATAGAAGGTTAAATCCCTCGCACCTTCTTCATAAAAGTAATGTGCACGGAGTATTCATGTGGGAGCAAAGCAAGAAGGGTGCAGCTTTAGGACGGAAGGAGGTTTTATTGCCTTTACGTGATGTATTATTGAGGCGGAAGAACTGAAGTCCCTTCAGAGCACTTTGTATACTGCTCTTCTGTTAACTCCTGGTGCCAGTCGTATTCTTAATACAACCAATGTGTTTATAGTGTCAGATAGGAAAGCGCAACGCCTGTTAATCTGCAGTAGAATCAAAATCCGATTTAAGTTGTCAGTTGTGCTAAATAACTGTTTTGGGGGAGGTTTATGGCTGTAGTAAATAGAGATTGGATTTTGAAAATACGTAGGTACAATTTCTTTGAAGTGAATCATAAACTGAAGTAAGCAATTATCATATGATAAAATAATTGTTTTAGACTCTTCTGCAGTATAACTTTTCTTTTTTCCTTTAGCCCCCTTGTTGTATCAGAACCCTCTTCTGCTGAGCACAGAACCAGTAAAGCGTGACTGCGAGGATGAAAAAGCAGCAATCTAATTGAGAGGGGAAGCAAGAGAGTGCCGGACGAAGGAGATGGAAAATGCATGTGAAGAGAGGAGAGGGGTAAGAGAGTAAGCAATAAAAGTCTGTGAATACTGAACGGTTTAGAAAAAGTAGGTCTGTAGTTAGTGCCGTCCGTAACACAAGAACAAGGAAGCATCTCATGGATATGAAAGGCGGCAAATCCGAGACTCATAAGGCGCTGTGCTCTCCTTACTGCCTGCACCTACGCTGCGGACCTCATCGCTGCAGAACTGTTCAGAAAAAACTGAGGAGGTTTGACAGGTATTTCACGTGGGTAATACGAATATCGGGAGCCTGACGGTTAATGCCAACACAGTTTGGAATATATGTAAAATTTTATACTCCAGGAACTAAAGCAATCTTTGATTTCTGGGGTTAGGATGAACCCGTCCTGGTGGAACAGGTTATCCAATGTATGTTTTTAGTGTGCTTTTCAGCTTCTTTTGAAGTTGCTGGTGTTGGCCGCTGTCACGGCATTTGGCCCGAGGGCTGTTTCTGCTTTATTACTGAAAGTCTGCGTTTGCGGTGTTAGGTGTACTGCTAGCAGTTTGACCAGGGTATCTCATGAAATAAGGGGCAGCCTCAAGGAGAGCATAAAGAAGCTGATTAGAAAACAGCTGATGAATTGCATGGGGCTGGTCTCACTGACAAGTGACTTCAGGTTGTTTACTTGGAACAAAAGTATTTGAAAGGTTTTTATAATTCACGAGCTTTTTCAAGTCACAGGTCTTGCTTTATGGTGATAGAGTTGACTTTTTCAGCTGTTGGGCTGCAGTATTGTTTGTTTGGTTTGAGTTTTTTTGTCCTTTACATATGAAAATTGAAAGCTCCTAATGCCAAATAACTTTAAATGATATCTACACAACCTCAAAAAGTTGCTAAAGAATGTTCAACAGTTGGGCACCACCTCAGAACTTTTTAGACTAGAGATGAGAGAGATTTCTGTAAGGCAGTGTATGGTTTTTTTCTAAGTCACAGAGCTAGTCTGCCTTAGCAGTAAGGCTTTAACAGGCTGGGGAGAGCAAGGTGCAAAAATTGGACAGACGATAGTCAAGAAGGATCAGTACCTAATAATTATGTGGTATCTTGTGGTATTTTATGGTATGTATGGTTTAGGTATACAATTTGTCACTTGTTAGGAAAGCTGTGAAAACTATCCCCCATATAATCTTCAGTACCCCTCCACCTGCAGCACAGGGAAAGTAAAGGGACTTCCGAACCGCCAGGGCTGTGCTTACCCACACCATTATCTCTCTTCACCTTCTTCCACGAGGCAGCGAAGCAGGGCTACAGAGAGCAACGTGAGATGTTCACGATGGAAACGGAGAGAAGGCGGGTGGTGTGATACCTTAAAATGATAGAACAGTCTTGCAGGGGTTAAGGTGGAGTCCTACGGACATTTTCTAGGTTTGCCTTCTGTCTGTTTTGAATGTTTGTTTGGGGTTTTTTTTAAGTATTTAAGAGGAGTGTTATTTGCACCGAAGCCACAGGTGGATGGAGCATTACATAAATGGTCCTGCCACCGAGCGCTGGTAAGGAATTCTGCTCGTGCTGCACATAGCAGGAAAAAAGGTCCCAGCTTGCTCTCTCACCAGCTCACTGGCTGCCAGGCTGCCAGCAAGTTAAAGAACAGGGAAATAATTCCGTTTTTCACGACAGTCGGCGTACATGACTCCTCATGCTTCTCGGGGAAGGGTGAGTTTGCACAGAGTACAGAGAGATCTCTCCGTAAATGGAGATGTTAGAGGAGGGTAAGTCCTACTCCGCTTCTCATAATCTGCACTGGTGGAAAACTGGAGAATCGGCACCGTGGGACAAAGGGCAAGGAGGCAATTTCAAAGCACTTCTGGGGTTTGTGAGCACTGGTTCTGTCCTGCGGTGCAATTGATGCAGATTTCTTTGATTTAGAATAGCTCTTTGGTTATTGTCAACTTCAAGCACTGCGCTTCATGGATATACCTAGTACAGTATCCTTAAGTTTAATCAGTACTGGCAAATTGACTTTAAAATGTCATTTATTACGTGCTAATAAATGCTGGCAACAGGTCAGCGTCAATTCTTATTTAAAATGGGTTTATGTTTAGTATTAGAAAAATGCTTTCACTCATGACAAAAGCTGTCCCTGAACCATGGTTCCAAGAGTCAAATGTGCTACGTGCTGCAACGTGGGGTTTTTCCTTTTCAAAGTACGTTGCGGAAGAGCTGCTGTATTTGCTGATGTCTCTTTATGTTTGTTTCGCGTTTCCCCTTTTGGCAGCAAATAGGATGGTATTGGTCTTACTTTGTCACAGCAGAGCTAATTCCTTTT